CCCAGGGGGCAGCGAGCAGCAGCCGTTTTGGGGTCCTGCCTTTTCAGATGTGCCCCTGTTGGGCTCTGGATCTACGTGGCCGAGACGGGAGCCCCCGCGTACCTCCAGCCAACCCCTCACCTGGTGCTGCCCGCAACCCGCGCGGGACTGCATCCGCTTTCCAAACCAAGTCCCTTTCTCCCTCCCTCCCCGCTGGCATCTCATGTCAGGACCATGAGTGTCCTCCCTGAGGCTGAGGACATGTGTTGTGCCTTTGCCAGGGGGGAGGACAAGCCTTGTGTCCCCAGAGGCAGCTGATCCCCTCTGCTCTGGCCATGTCCCCAACACGTGCCGGTTGAGCCCCCTCAGCACATGGGTCAAGGGAGATGCATCCATGGTGGGGCCCAGCCCCAGATCTACCCTGGAGGGACAGCGGCTCCCGTGTCATGCCAGGGGTGGGGGCTCAGCTGTTGCCGTTAATCTATTTTTTTTTTGTCCTCAAAACAATAATCTCGCGGGAGGTTTTTATTCAGACCCTGGAATGAGAGCTCTGCTTCCCACCAGCCCCCACGCTGGACTGACTCTTGGCCCTGCCCGCTTACAGCGCTGCCCGACGGGGGCTCAGGGCGACGTCGCTGGTATCCACACATAACCCCAGCGTGCCGCCCATGTGCGAAGTAGCCGGGTTTCACATCCTCCCTGCCGCACGTCATCTGCTTTCTGTTCCGGCCACATCTTCCCCCTCCACTCCCAGCGAGGAGGGAAGCAGACCCCCACCAGCCGCGCTGCCTTGTCTGCATCCCAGCTCCCAGGAGGGGTTTGCTTCTTGTCTGGGGGTGTCCTCAGCGCCTCCTTCTCCTCTACAGCCCCATGGCAACGGCGATTTTGCCGGTTCCTGTCCCCATCTCAAACTCTGGGCCTGAGAGGCTCGTGCATGTTGGGGCTTAGCGCATCCCTGCCCTGTGGGCTCGGATCCCATCGTGGGCACAACCTGGAGCTCCAGCGCCAGAGGCCTCCAGCCTGGCCATCCCGCCACCCCTGCCCCACATGCACAAGCCTCGTGTACAGACCCCACACAGCCGGGCGGTGACGGGGAAGAAAAGGGGAACCAGGACAGGGGCTGTCAGAGACTTCCCGAGCAGGGCTGCGGTGTCATCAGTTACCAGGCAAAGCTGCTGCTGGGAGAACTGGTCTGGTGGAGGACAAGATCCAGCTTTGCTCCCCCCGGTTCTCAGGGATCTCTGCAGGGTTACACACGCGCGTACGTGTGTGTGCGCGCGATGGGGAACAACGCCTGCAGGAACAGGGCTGTCAGGTGACCCGGTCTCATCGCCTGTCCCCTCTCATCACCTCATCCCCCTCTGTGTCATCCCTCAGCCCCTACCCCTGCAAGGGGGGTCGGCCACACGCCCTCCTACCCATGGGATGAACACCAGTGTCACAGAGCCCGGCCACCCCAGGGGCCTCCCTGGGCTTGGTGGACCCAGCGAGGACTCCCCCACCTGGGGTCTGGGCTCTGCAGGTGTTGGCTCTGCCCACACCCAGTTCACCAGGGAGTCTGTGTGAATCCTGGTGTCTGGCGCAGCAGGATGGGTCGGGCTGCCCCAGAGCCCCTTCCTGGCATTGCCATGAGTGTGGCTACGTGCCGATGGGCTCTGTGATCCCCCCTGCCCAGCAGCCATAGGGGGGGCACCTCCCCCACGGGACTGTTCCTTAGGGGTACTAACATCCCACCTACATCATCTGGGAGAACCCAGGAGTCCTGAGGTCACCCTACCCTTTCCCTCTGCCCAAGAGCTGGAGCCAGATCCTTGGATCCCTGCTCCACATCCACGACCCACCGCCCCATAGATCACCCAGACACCAAGGGGGCGTGTAGACCTGCAGTCACCCCCTCGCACGGTGCAAAGAATGGACTCACGGCGAGGGTCACAGGGCAGGATCAACCCCAACCCACTTTATTGTGGTGACAGAGCAGCGGAGCAGGAGCAGAGGGGAGCACCGAGGAGGAGCTGTGGGGCAGGGCGCACCTCCCCTCCCTTCATGGGTCTGCAGGAGAGACCCCGCATCTGGGCTGGGAGGAGACACCATGTCCCCAGCTGGAGATGGCTGTGGGGCCAGGGGCTGTGGGCAGGGTGGCCCCAGCATGCTGGTGGTGTGGGCTGGTTATGGGGACCAGTGCAGGCCCCCAGGCTCTGCAGCAATCTCCCTTGGCAGAGGGTGAGTCGGAGCAGCCCCAGGTGCCACCCCAGCTCACCCCAGCCAT